GTTGTTTGTTGGCCGAGCTTTGTTTTCCCACTTCTTTCTGATTGCTTCCTTACATTTTCCTTTCTATATTATCCTGGATCATCTCCTATCTTGCCTTTATCTTACATGCATTGTAGTGGAAATTGCTCCCTCATCCAGTTGTTATTGTTATAAATCTACCTTCTCTCCCTGAGTAACCTCCCCTCCCTCCCCTCCACCCCTCCCTTCACTTTGCTTGGAGGGTGTTTCCTCGGTAGATCACACCATCAGTACTTCTTAACTCGTCCCACCTCCTGTTGTCTTTACCTCTGTCTCTCTCTGCATGACCTCAATTCACAGGCAAGCTCGTGTCCTTTGCTCTCTCTGCGTCTCCTGGCAGGTGTAGCTGTGTTGTGCTTCGGGCCACCGTGTGAGCAGCGCAGGGTGCTTGTGTGTGTGGGTTAATGAAGCATGTTTTTAGTATGTGTGTGTGTGTGTTTGAGGGGCCTTCTGTTCTTCTCTCCTCGCTTTGTCCTCAATACCCAAGCAGCCCTCGTCCCCTCTTCTATTCATTTTTCTGCTGCTTTGATTCCCCTTTCGGTCTCTTTTCAGTGCATGCGTGTGGCTCTTTCACCAGGTGTGTTTTGTTTTCAGCTTGAGGCTAACTTATATGTGAAGGAGAGGGAGAGAAGTGGAGACAGAAAACAGAGTGCCCTAGTTATTGCAGTAAAATGTAGAAGGGGGATAAAATCAACTGCAGTCAAGGCAATAATAGTAGTCCTTATGCAGAAAACTGTAAAAAAAAATCCCTTTGTCCAGGTTTCTGTGTGCGTCATGTGATCTTATTTGTGAGGGAATTTTACCCTTCTAGCTGTCATGATGTCTCTTGCATCCAGCAGCACCCTAATGCTGAAAAAGTAAATTCCATTAATCAAGTGATCTTCTTCCTGCGTTCATTGGGCCCAGTCTGGGAGTTCCTTGTGCGCAATTTCCCCACCAGAAGAAATCCCCTCGAGCGCACACTTGAAATGCGAAAAAGGCCCCTGAGAATGAAACGTTATGGAATACTTTGAAAAAAGTAAAAACGTCATATTAGTGCTGCGGCTTCAAGTGAACCTGCTGAAGGCTGTGCTGATGGCTAATTAAATTATTCAGTGTGATATGTAAAGGGAAATTCCACGTGTCATCTGGCCTCAGCAGTAGATCACAGATCCAGGGATTGTGGTTGTTTTGTATTGAATCTTCAGAGACAGCAACTGAGGACTGCTGGACATTCTGCTGACACATACGTAAGCCGGCACTCCTTTTTAAATGCAGAGCGTAATGTTAGTATAGTATAGTATAAGACTTTAATCCCAAATGCTTGCATCACATGACCAAAAATATACGTGCATCTGTAAGTGATCAGGGCTGAAACATTATATTACATTAGATTACATTACAGGTCATTTAGCTGACGCTTTTATCCAAAGCGACTTACAGTACACTTTAAACCCATGGCTTTTTACATTTTGCCCAGGGAGCAATTAGGGGTTAGGTGTCTTGCTCAGGGACACTTTGACTTGAGACATGGGGCAGCCATGTTTCTTTTGGATAAAGCCAAGCGTTTCTGTTCCCACTCAATGTGCCAGCTAGGCAAAAACACTGGCTGCTGTTTCTGCATCTACTGTTATTCCTCTGTTTTTTAACTAAACCAATCATTTGCACTTTACTCATTAGACATGTACTGTATTATTCTATCTAGCTGGCAAAATAGCAAATAACTAAATATATATTAGCACATATTGATTTTGCTCCAACATGGACGAATACACATATCTTTGGCCATGAAGAGTTTTTTTTCTCACATTCTGGCTAGTATTCTGGCCCACTTATATTCATTATTACTGACGGAGGATGCACTGTTCAAAACCCAACTCTCTCTCCAACACATTTCAGTTTTACTATAAGGAGGAGAATATTTAGAAATAAACGGACTGCGACATTTTCCACAACATTTTCTGGAAACAAGACTTTGAATTGGGGTTTAAAATTGGGTACCTGTGGGATGGTTTTCCCAAGGAACGGATGGTAATTGAAATTCACCAGTTCGGTGCCAGTGGTGGGAGTGGATGATGTAACCCAGAGAAATATCAGCAATCTGGGTATTGCTGTCGCTTCTCCTCCCCTCTTGCTCCTCTATCTGATCCACGTCTTGTCTCTCCCTCCCCTCTGTGACTCTCAGTGCTCCCAGTCCCTTCGCTCTGCTCCCATCATGCCCCCTGCCTCCTACTCCCCACCACACATGTGTTTGCCCCTAAATACACTCCTCTCATTCCAAACTTTCCTTCATCTTCTGTTGTTCATTAATTGACCGAACCTTTTGTTACTCACTTGATAGAGCTTTTCAATTTATCTCGGCATCTTTACTTTATCCCCCTATTCTCCTTGCTTCCTCTTTCTTATGCCCCTCTCCCTCTTTGAAATCCGAGAAAAAGGAGAGATTGACAAGAAGATGAGATTGAAAAGATGATAAAGCCCAAAAAACCATGGGTGGAAAGGGGAGGGGGCAGGGGGTAAGAGGGGGGGGGGGGGGGTAAAGCAAGGAGATGATCAAAGAAATGGAGACTCCAGAGAGAGTTCTGGAAATACATAGAAGATTAAATCCAATTAATATTGAATTAGGGGGGGAAAAAGACATGGAGAAAGAGAGAGAGAGAGAGGGAGAGAGGGAGAAAGGGCGGGGCAGGTGGATGATACATAAATTATGCCGTCAAACGATGCTTAATTATAAGGGAATCACTTCAGCCTTCATAAAGCCTTATACCAATTCTTGAATGGAAAATCTGCAAATGATACAGCCTTAAAAAGCATGTCAACTGCGGTGTTTGCCAAAATTCACTGGCAGGTCTCATGTGTTTTCTAGCCAAGTATACATGCTGTGGTAGCTGGCGGATTAGACAAACCAAACCAAACCCTGCCAGGTTTTATTTGGTGACATGTGTTTAACTGTCTTTTTTCCAGCTCATAGTGAGAATTTAGAAATTTATTGTATATCAGTATATATATATATATATATTTTAAATGATTGACTACCGACACACCAACTAAGAGAACCAGAGCCTTCCCAAAGAAGTATTCTTTCAGCTATCTTAAGTATTTAAGCCAAACTCTCCCTCATCTCTGTGGAGCGTTTCAGCATCAGGAGGCTCGTTGTTATGGTCCTCTAATCCACAAGATTGTTGTATTTCACCCTCATGGTTCTCATCGGCGTTGCTTTCAGCTATAACAAGCAGTTATTTTCAGCAAGATTCTGACAAAACCAACTGTACATTACCTATCAGGCACCAAAAAAGTGCCAGATATTTCAAAACCAGAGCCTGACGGAGAGACTGCTTAACAAACTTGCTCACTGGTGATCTGCAGGTAGAATAAATAATTTGTGGTTTCTCCCGAGTCACCAAAATAAAAATTCAAAATCACTCTGCTATTCCCCGTTTGGTAAAGATAAAATCCTCATGTACGTCACAGGCTGGAAGCAGGGGCCCAACTGGCTGCAGCAAAGTGCGCTCTCTCCCCTCCTTTTTAACTAAGCCTCAACGTCCAAGAAAAGGAGACCGTCTTTTGTTCTCGACTTATCCCTGGGGTTCGACATGTGTACCTCTGGCTGAAAGGATTTCCATACCCATCAAAAGGACCTTATAGGATGAATTCCCGCGACAACTAAGTCGTCGATCTTAATGCATTTCGTGATTTCCAAGTCCTTCGGAATCAATCACGACGTAAGTCCTGATTGACAACGGAAACCCTTGAGACGTTGACCTGCCTGGAATAATGGTCTTTCTTTCATGCTTGCTTTACCTTCCTTCATCTCTGTCCCCTTTTCTCTTGCCTGCCTTGTTCCGTTTTTTTCCCCCAGCTGACTGTCAGACGTAACCCCTTCCTGCTTTTCTTCCATCTGCCTAATAAAATCCCGATGTAAGTCATTCCTTGATAGATACATGAGCTACATCCCCTTTCTTTTATCCTCTCCGTCCTTACTTCTGATCACTGGTTTGCATCTTTCTCTGGCCCATCTTTCTTGATGACTTTGGGGAGCGCCAGTCGCTTTGGCTATCAGATAACGATGTCCTTGATCAATACATTCTGCTCGTGCGCGTTCGAGCACACGGGTCTGTTGTTTGTGCGTGTGCGCCAAAATGTGCGTATGGGGTTTTAAGGCGTATCTTTTTGGGATCAGCATGTGGCCGAGCGTTGAGATTTTAATACCCATGCTGAGGCTACAGGGGCCGACAGTCCCACCATCCATCCTCCCTTCCTAATGAAGCTTTTAACATAACTTAAAAACCGTCGGCGACAACATTATTATTCGTGGAAATAAAGTGAGGAATTGGGCGCGCAGGGTTGAGAGCTGTTGGAAGGAGGGGAGAGATGAATAGCAGAGAGAAACTAGAGATGGCCAAAGAAAAAGAACGAAAGAAAGAGGGATTATAGGTGGAAGAGATTGTGCGGATATGAAAGACACTCGGCAGTCACACCAATTTAAAACGGCACAAAGTATTTTCCATAATGCTGACAATTTTAAAATGCTAAATTAGCTCAGAAAATGTCAGAAGGTCTAAAGGGATTCTCTGAGTGTAGACAATAGATGGAATTATAGACTACTTCTTACTGAGGGTGAGCAACCGACTGTTCGGCTTGACGGGGATCAGGTTGAGGCGTACAGAAATACAGATAGCACGTCTCACCTAATCTTCACTCAAAGTGTTACTAATCTAATTTAACACAAGGATTACTGGTATTGGTTAATATGTTCCTGGAGAGTTTGAATCCTTAATTGAAAAGGAAGTTTGTAGCAGGAGTCGAGCTACCACCTTTAAGGTTCGCGTAAGGACGCACGATTCTTCTGAAGAATATGTGAGAGGAGAGGAAGTCCGCCACGACCATCTGCGCCCCCGGCCTATGGATCACCTTGAAGTTAAAAGGCAGTAGAGCCCGATACCACCGAGTGATCCGGGCGTTGGCCCAGGAGGTAGTACCGCAGGGAGTCGACCGCCCACCGGATGGCCAGGCACTCTTTCTCCACAGTACTGTACCTGGCCTCTCTCTGTTTCCAGCTGATGTAGAAGACCGGGCAGTCCATCCCCTGCACCTGCTGGGACAAAACGGCCCCCAGCCCTCTGTTCGACGCATCAATCTGCAAGACAAAAGGGAGAGAGAAGTTAGGTGTATGGAGCAGTGATTCCCCGCAAAGGGCCCGTTTCACGCCCTTAACCGCCCACTGGCACCGCTCCGTCCACTGGACCGGATCTGAGCCACCCTTCCGGATCAGGTCAGTCAAGGGGCTGGTCAGCTCCGCAAAGCCCGGGATGAACCTCCTGTAGTAGCCTGCCAGCCCCAAAAACTGCCTCACCTCTTTTTTAGTCTTGGGCTGCGGGCAGGCTGCGATGGCTGCGGTTTTGTCCACCCGAAGGGAAGCGTGGTGAATTGGTATAATCCAAACGGAGTGGAGAAAGCCGACTTTTCCCTGGACTCTGGTGACAAGGGAATCTGCCAGTAGCCCTTGGTCAAATCCAGTGTCATAAAAAAACGCGCAGTGTCCAATCAGTCCAGGAGTTTGTTGACCCGGGGCACCGGGTACGCATCAAACCGTGACACTGCATTCACCCTGCGATAGTCCACGCAGAACGTTATTGAGCCGTCCTTCTTGGCGACAAGAACGATGGGGCTGCACCAGGCACTGTTGGACTCCTCTATTACCCCCATCCCCAGCATAGCGGCCAATTCTCGCTGAACAATTCTCCTTTTGTGTTCAGGTAACCTGTAGGGCCGTGACCGCACCGTCATGCCCGGGGACGTCTCAATGTCATGTGCTATGAGATCCGTGCGACCTGGCAGAGAGGAGAACATATCATTAAATTGGTCTTGCAACCGGGCTATGTCCGCTTGCTGGGCTGCAGAGAGATGGGCGTCAAACAGTCGGATCGGTGGACTTTGGGACCTCTGGCCCCAGCTCCTCTCTCTCCGCTACTGGACACCAGGGACAGGGACTCCGCCTCCCTCCATGCTTTGAGGAGGTTGAGATGGTAGATCTGTGTGGCCCCGCCCCTGTCAGATCGCACCACCTCATAGTCGACGTCCCCTACCCGCCGTCTCACCACAAAGGGCCCTTGCCACTTGGCTAGTAGTTTCGAGCTAGAAGAAGGAAGCAATACAAGTACTTTCTGTCCCGGTGTAAATTGTCTCAGCTTGGCCCCTCTGTTGTACAGCCGTTGTTGACGCTCCTGGGTCTGGAGCAAATTCTCACGTGATAATTCCACACAGTGTGGGGAGTTTGGTTTGCAGGCCCAGAAGTTACTAAATCTGGTTCTTACGGGGGCTGGGGACCTCCCTCCAAGTTTTCTTAAAGCGGGTGGAGCCCCCCCCCCCCCCCCCCCGTGGTTTCCTGCCAAACAGCAGCTCGAAGGGAGAAAATCTCGTGGAGGCCTGGGGAACCTCCCGTACTGCAAATAACAGATGATCAAGCCATTTATCCCAATTACGTTCATCGTCGTGAATGAACTTACGAATCATGGATTTTAACGTCTTATTCAGTCGTTCAACCAAGCCATCAGTCTGGGGGTGATACAGACTGGTCCGGACAGACTTAACCCCCAGTAATTCGTATAGTTCCCGCAGTGTGCGTGACATGAACAAGGTGCCCTGGTCAGTCAGAATGTCTTTCGGGATTCCGACTCGGGAGATGACCTGAAACAGCGCCTGCGCAATACTCTTGGCGGAGATGCTGTGCAACGCCACTGCCTCGGGATATCGGGTTGCGTAATCTACCAGAACTAACACAAAGCGAAACCCCTGTGCACTCCAGTGAAGAGAGTGCCGGTTGGACTCGGCCTGCTCGCGCTGCATCGCCGCGATCTCCCCCAGCATCCGACCGAGTGCGATTGCCGGCTGCATCGCCCCCTCTCTGTTGTCATTTACGTCCATCCCCGGCCGGGCGCCTGTAGCAGGAGTCGAGCTACCACCTTTAAGGTTAGCGTAAGGACGCACGGAGACACGTTTCTTCTGAGGAATATGTTTTATTTATTGTCTCGCAGTGAGCAGGTTTCGCGTAGTTGTCCTCGTCGGCTCGGCTCTGCTCCTCGGCCTTGCCCCTGAGCGTCTGCTGCAGAGTCTCGATTTCTCTCCAGGTCCTGCTCACTGCTTTTCAAAGGACACACCATCAGTTCTGATCACTTCCACCTGTGCTCCTTACTTTCCTGCCGGCACTGTCCCCTGAACCACTCCCCCACTCTCCCCCCTGCAGCTGAGCTAACCACACCCCGCCACCATAAAGTTCTTCACCTCTTATATCATTTCATCAGTGAATCAATTCCTCATTCTTTTATTACAAATGTAAATGCAGAGCTAGTCCACACAAGGCAACTCAATGTGGGCTGCAAGAAAGAAAAGTAGTAGTTGTAGACTGATTTAATCATACTTAGATAAATGGGGTAAAACAAATACTAATGCAAGCACCATAAACAATGGCTTACCTACATTAAGGTTTTCTAAAAAATATGTTTTAATATGCAAATCAGGAATTATCTTGAGGTGTTGTATCCTGATCGCTATCAATATCGGCAGCATTCTTTAGATTGATCACTAATAATCATAATATATGTGGTTTGTATTAGTTAAGCCCGTAAAATGTATTTTTGCCCCCGACTATGCAGCGCTTCATAGCATGAATCTATTCAATAACCCAGTGGAAGCCAGTGTAAAGAAAAGCTGTGTTATTCCCATTTTCGTTGTACAAATTACGGCAGCAGACACATGTCAGCACTGACATGTGTCAGACTTGTCAAATCATCTTTGTACACATTGGTTTTGTGTTGAAGACTTCTAACAACACCAACCAAGGTTTTGGGGTGCTTGATCCTGGAGGCTAAATGTCAAACTGTGCTTCTAATCGACTAGTAGTTCAAGCACACCCTGGCATTTGACATTTCCATTCTTTTCTTGCCTGTATTAGATCATTTGTTTGAAGCTAAAATAAAAGTGCACGGATAAGCTACATAATAAGATGAACCATAGTACAAGCACACAGACAAAGGTCGGGGACTTGACTAACGCTGAGACACAACTTATTTTTTCTTTTACTTTAGTCTTCACTTTCCCTCCATCTTACACAATGGTGTAGCAGAAACAAAAAGTTGTTCAAGCACACAGTTCCTCTCTTAATGGGAATTCATCAGAATGCATGGGTGTCTGCATGCTTGCGTGTGTCTGGCCGTCGCCGTCTTTCTTTTTTAGGTTACTTTACCGTCAGCAGGGTTCAACTTTGATCACAGCTGGATGCTGTTTGATCAACGTGTGTCTCGCTCCCCCCTTTTACATCAAAGAATGGAGGTGGTTTGTCCTGTGTGTGCTCAGCTTGTTGTTGGTTTTTACACAATATCAACAAAAAGTCTACATACTTCTCATACGCTGGTTGGTGACGGCAAAGAGAGCAGCGAGGATTAGTTTGAAGCGTGAATCGCTAAGTAACTCAATATTTTGAGTTACTTAACTTTATATTGTTTGTTAATAACATGCTTTACTGCCCTTTTCACTTCAAAATGCATGAAATTAAATGAGCAACTTGCTGCAAAATGCACTCATTTTGGACTTTTTATAAAGGAATTTAATTATGACACGCAATCATTAATACACATTGTATACGGGACTGTAATGGAAATCTCCCCAATATATAAAAGTAATACTCTACTACTACTAATGGCAAACAATAAAGGTGAGGCTTGAATAAAACGTAAAACTGGGATGAGGAAAAGTTCAAATACCCTGCCCCCTCAAGTATTGACAACCTTCTGGTCATCAAAAAAGAAAAGTACATAGCCCTCAGGGTTTTCTGTCCCCCCTCCCCTGTTGTATTCTGCACTGTTCCTTCCCTGCAGGAATGGACATACTGGTCACTAAAAAATCAAAGCCCAGCACAGGTCCGAGTGACCTTTGGGTACTGTGCCATTTAGTGACTAACTGACACTGGGGGTATCATAACTGATTTCATCATCCCACTGCCACTCAATGGAGTATCAAATGTCATGTTTGGTTACAGCATTAAATCAATTTAAATAAATAATATGTGTCTCGTGTATACTTGCGTGTAGCCCGGGCAAAAAAAAAAAATGTAGACATCAGGATATAGTTTTCTAAAACCTAATTAAAAGGGTGTGAGTGTGGTAAAATTAGATACAGGTGAATAAAATGTGTCAATCAGATAATATACCACATATAATATTACAGTTCAAAGGTTGTAGTTGGTGCATTAGTGTGTGTATATATATATATATATATATATATATATATATATATATATATATATATATATATATATATATATATATATATATATATATATATATATATATTACTATAACTATACTGTGTTATCTCTAACAGTCTAACTTTGTAGAGGTAAAATATATCAACCGTAGTTTGGTTGGTGTTTAATTGGCTTGTCCCGACACTAACAGCCAATCCATTTCCATTCTCAGGTAGGTGGGCGGGGCTTAGGCGTATGCGGTAAGGATCAGTGTATCAGAGAGAGGCAGAAGCTAGTTGTCACTTGTCACTGTCAAGTAAATAGAGAATAGTGTAGGAGAGCAATAATGTTCACGCCTTGAAGGCTGGCAAGCAGTTAGCCTATGGTTTGGACTGTTGTGATCTATAAGAGGTAAATATAAGTTGTTTTTGTATCGTTTGCTATATTGTGGCTACATGTTGTAGTGTAAAACAAGGTGTGTTGCTAATCGTGAGTATCCATTAGCATTAGCATGCTACCCGTCAGCTTTGACTTCACACCGTTTTCTCTGCCTTTTGAAATCAAATGTTGACACAAGCTGTTGCTAAATCGCCCTCAAGTAGAATATGACATATGGACATTAGCTGGTTTATCCTATTCAGGAGACGGATATCTGTTGCTGCTGTTTTTTTCTTCTGGGTTCTCACCATCCATTGCCCAGCTTCCCCTCATCTTCCCCTCTGAGTATTGCTTGGATTGAGTGAGTATCGACTAACTTGCACGTACCTTTTTATTTATTGCTTGTATGAAGCCTCTATAGGAGGCACCACCCCGGAAAGCAATTGTTAGACAAACGTTAGTATATAAAACAGGTAATTGTGTCAG